CCTCTCGTTGGTATCGTGCTTGCGGAGACCGGAGTTGCGATGGACTGCCTGGAAGTAGTCAGTGAGAGTCGGGGCGATCCCCATGCCTGATAGAGATGTAAGTACCTTTCCGCTGGGCTCCCAAGGCATGCGGAATAGCGCTCATTAGGCTGATCATGAGCTTAGGGTTCTGAAAGACTTCAATTTAGAAAACCGCAGAAAAGAAGAAATGAACTAATCAAAAGAGATATAGAGACAATAGTCCATGTTTTACTCGTACCTAATACGTTAAGTAGAAGAAGCAATACGGATCACAATCAGCTATACCAAATGTACGACCGAAACGGAGGGTAAAGATAGTAAACAAGTTCGAGGAACGATGCCACTCACAGTGAACACGTAGATCTAGTCTTACGGGTTACTTCGAAGCGGAACTCGCGATGGAGAGCTTCTAGGAATGACGGATCAACTAGGGGTGGTAGCATTCCAGGTAACTGATGGCCACAGAACTTCCAGTCGTAAACACACCTCGGTCTTGATACTTCCAACGCCAAGCAAAGACTGGATAGAGACCATAGATCGCAGTGGGGCAAATAGGGGTGCGATAAGACCTGATCAATCCAACCGTATAGTACTGCCCATGGCAACTCGGGCCAACCTTGGGAAGCACACGGGAGTTTTCCTATCTTAGTGGCGCGAACACACAGCAGGGTCCCCGTCATCATCGTGATACCGAGGCTCCCAAACTCCATGCAATAGTGATTCAATGTATGGTTTAGGCTATCTTCTATTGCTAATCGATTTATTTGACTGCATTCCGGTCGAAGTCTCAGCCTTTTCATCTTGCAGACCCAATATATAGCCTTCGCAAAAGTGTGTTGCCTTACAATGTGCTTCTCAGTGCATGACATACTAAGGGGTTGAAGAGGCAGGTAAACAAGATCGATCAGTGGATGTTTTGGTTACTCTTGGTTGGGATTACAGCGTGCCATTGTTAATAGTTCGCGGATACAAACTGTGTGTGACAGCCTTGGAAGAATCTCTGTGGCCTGCAGGCAAGAGTTATTGATGGTGCCACTGGCTAGCTTTTGCGCACCAAAATATATCGGACATGCGAAAATCGCCGGCGCAGTGGCATGGCTCGGGACGTCGGTGGCTTTGGGATGGACCCGAGCTTTCTTTCTTTTTCTTTGGGCTCGGCATTCTGCATGTCCGTTAGTAGAATTATATCAAGGTATATGGCACGTACGTAAAGTGAGCTCCCAAGTTTGTTCTTTGGTATACAACAAGGGTAAACAAGCTGCTTACGAAACGGACTGTAAAGAATGCTCTATTTCGGCATTTAATGAGCACACGTCTGTAGCACAGTGGGCCGGATACTCCTAACTCCTCCCACAGTTTTCCTCTATCGGTCCAAGTCGGAAGCAGACAAGACGAGGTTCAAAGGAACTGTATAAGAGTATGAGATGCTTACTGTATCTGATGCTCATCCTCTATAGTTAATTGCTGCATTGGAAGATTAGTTATCCGGCGGCTGACATCATGATTTACTGGACCATATTCGAGAGTTATAAAAATATAAACTACTGTGGCAGAATGCTGGAAATATTATAGATCCGAAGTTTGTATTTGTGGAAAGCAGCAGATGATGTTGACGACAGACATATTTCAGCTTAGGTTTCCAACACCGCGTTACTTATGGCTACATGACTTGGCCCCTATGCTGCGCGTTTCCGCGCTTCTTATAATGTCGAGCTGCAATCAATAGACCGCAAGCGCGCTCCATTCAGTGAATTGGTGCTTGGGAAGGGAGATCATCTCTAGCATCTTAGTATTCAGTACATTAATCTGCCACCAGGCCACTTTCTTCGCAGTAAATGCTAATAAGGTCATCAGTCTGCTACAAATTTTGTGCCTATGATCGGTATTGCATCCGTACTGTATCATATCACTTGGCCAACCGTGTCCCAAAAGAGATTCCGGGGATCCATGGCCCTTGCCGACAACTTATCATTGGTTGTGGCGACTCAGACTCTGAAGTACCATATGTCGTCGAAACAGGCCTTGATTCCCCATTTTCATAAGTCCATCAGGAAAACCGCCCGACAAACTCCATGTGATGCAGACACCCGCAAAAGCGAGACGGATCTGCCCCTTACATATAGAAGTCTCCGCTCTGGGTGCAATAGAGATAGAAGTTATGCGTACGCTGAGAAGGTATTCAAAGTTGGACTGTGGGTTCAGAATGGTAAGAAGTGGATATTGCGAGATGGGAGGCATCTGTATGTTCGCCGCGTGACGCATGCTGAACATTTGACAGCAGAGCTGATGGGCACACTCGAGCGTGAAGTGGGAAACAAGCTGCTTCCTCAAGGGGGTTAGGTAGGGAAGGGATTGTATGCGTGGCTCTTCTCTCGGCCGGACACTGGCTTTTAATATGTTGTCAAAATACTGTGCATATCCTAGTAGACCACCACATGGTTGCTACAGGCTTGTCCAATACCGCACGCGAATTTCTTTCTGTTCCGTGACACATACCACTCAGCATTTCAATATATTGAATGTATGTCAAAAAAATCATGCCGATATAAGTTCGACATGTGGCGCCTAATTCACGAATAGAATCATTCTAGAAGTATGGGCTACATTGCAGGGCTGCCCAAGCCTTTCCAAGTGTCGACGATTGTCGGCTCCTGCTCCGCCTCGATAAATGTTAACTGCAACCGACTGCTCTTCACAGGTGCAATGCTTTCTCGTTGGTAACTAGACTGGTTCGTCAAACGTAGCTCTACCCATATGAGCTTCATTGCTCCACTCGATTGGAACTATGAGCGCTGCTACTCCCTGTTATTGATTTCGTTCGTAGGTAGGTAGAACATGAATGTTTGACAACATGAACTCACCATTCCCGCAGCCTTCTATAAGGCAGCTGTAGATGCGGACAGCGCTTGAAGGAAATCCGCCACGCTTGCAAAGACCTTGAATTCTTCCAACCCCGCAGTCACACCATTCCACTCGAGCTACAAACAGGCATTCTAGAGCAGTTCAAGGACTTCTTCCGTCTACCGGTAGAGAACAAGGAGAAATACAATAGGGGTAAGTTCACAAGCAACATCCACACCGATGCCCACTGTTTAACCTCCTAGACAATGACAGCTTCAACTGCAGATGTGAACGCTTTCGGGCCCAGAAATTCGAGAGACTAACCACAGGCGACCTGAAGGAGGGCTTCTTTCTCTGTCGACGTCTCCCACTAGATGACCCTGACGTTCAGGCCGGCAAATTCGGCCAGGGACCCGACAAGTATCCTGCTGAAGTGACAGACCCACAAATCTTCCGAGACACGGTGAGCTGGTCCTATGGAGCCGTTTTGAGTCTCACAATCGATCTTATGACTGGCATTGCGGAAAGGGGGGGCTTGATTCAGGTGCTCTGTGCAGGTTCTGTACCAAACCTATTGCTACCCTCCGCTTGCTTCACTACCCCCCTCAAGCGCCCAATGTATCGGAGCTGGAACGAGGTTTGCACTACCAATCCTCTCGCTGTCAGCTCCAAACCTATATTGGAGGGTACCCCTGATCAGCTAACTTTTAGTTGCAGTAATCGGGGCTCACAGCGACTTTGGTGCATAACCATCCTCTTGCAGTAGTCGGTCGGGGTCTACAGGCTTGGAGCCGAACATCGAATGAGTGGGTGGTCGTAGCGCCTGGAAAGCTACCTCGAGCCAGGCGGAAATCCCAAACGCGGCCCGATTACTGTGAACGACTGGATTTTTGGCTCCTAGGTGGATACCTTAGGGGGTGGCGCGGTGGAAGGCGAAAAGGATCTTGTGATTTGGAATAACAACACCAGGATGCATATAGTCGAGACAAAGTTGCCATAGAGATAGCGTATAGTTCGTTCTTTCAACCGCGGAGAAGCATGAGAATCCCAGACTTAACTCTACCTTAAGGATGCACAGTCGCATACCCAAACCGCTGGGTACCAGGGAAGCCAGGCGTGGCCCGAGCGAAGAACATCTGACTCTCAAGGTTTTGAGAGGAAGTAATGGCTAGTTCAGAAGGTCCAGGCGTACAGTTGGAGTCTCAGGCATATGCTTACCTTTAGTAACTAACTGTATAATTGCGTGGCGGGCTTATTCAGAGCCGGGCTAAATCGAAAGGATGAAGTATCCATCCATCCAGCATTGGAGTTATTGATAGCTCACGGTCCAGCAGGATTAGGTACGCAATGGGCAATTCCGAGCGTTGGTAAAGAGACATAAATCGTATCGTCAAGCATTGCTGGGTAGCTTCAGAATTCATTGTTCTGTGTGACGTGGTCAGTGGTGGACCCAGCACCACCGGCTGTACGGATTTAGTAAGTCCCGAGGTCGAAAGATGTCACGAGGATCCCAACATGCCAACTTATCGTAAGAGCCGATCGCGAGGGTCGGGGGTAGCAGGCGCAGTAACTGCTTGGGCCCCTTGGAAACACCTGGGGTTCAATTTAGCAGTCGGGAAATGAGTACAAGCCAGAGAGGATCGACTCGAAATGTCATGCTGAAAGTCAGAGCTCCACCCATACCACACTGAAAATAAACTCGGCTTGTTCTTGCGGGTTGCCATCGGCTCAGGGTCGCCTCTGATAGGCGCATCTTTTTCTCGGACCAACCGATACTACGTTAACATGTTGCCCGCGTCTGAGCATGACCAAATTACCTTCGCCCCCCCTCCCAAGGGAATCCGGTTCGGGGAGGATATCTTCCGTCCTCCGCTCTCCTCCCACATCCCCCCAATGAACCTCGATTCCCCCAATGTTTGCGCCTGGATCTCACCTATCCTTACAACCTGAATTGCGCCTTTGTCTGCGATTGCCCCTTTGTGTGGCGCCGTGTGGTCGATCGAGAGAGCACTGCTGAATCAACCTTATCGAGCTGATACTCAGTGCAGTAATTTAACAGACGGTCTGCCTCCCTCCAATTATCATCCTTAGATCGCATCACTAGCGTGCGTTGCAGACCACCCTGGTTGATCAACATCGTTTAAATAGCGGCCGTGGCCACCCACCTCCACCGCGCAAAACCAAAGTGGCTTAGGTTTTTTATGTGCATACCATCTCGAACTTTCACAAAAGCATCTCAGTTAACCACTTCTCACATCCTCAATTCTGCCCCCAGACCTTCTCAATGGCCGACGGGAGAATGTCCGCCGACTTGAACCTCTACGGCACCCTCTCAGGCCCCTCCACCACCGACGAGACCTGGTCAGGCTCCCTCCCTTTCTACCTGGACGACACCATTCCCCCAGACTGTCTTTCTCTTCCTCTGTTCGAAGATAACGACCAATGGCTTCTCAATTCGTTTTCGCCGCCCGTGTCTTGGGCCACTGGACCTACTCTCCGAAACATCCCCACCGCTAGCTCGGAAGCCAGTTTCATCGCTCCTTGCCAGACAGTACACAATACTACCAGTGATTACGTGCAAAAATGCTCCCCGATGCAGGCTACCTTTCCACAATCTGCACCCGCCCAGACGTCTCCCACTCCTATGCACGAAATCACCTCGCGGGGTAGCATCATGAGCGTTAGCAGCGGTGGCAGCGCCGATAGCAATCAATCCGGCTTTAGTATTCCCAGCTACAGCAGCAGTAATGGGAGCCCGGTATATGGTCGTCGAGGGAGCTCCCGTCGGCCTCCATCTCAAGGCTTTGAAGTGAACGAGCGCGAACGACGCAAACGCGAGCGTTTCCTCGAGCGTAACCGTGTGGCTGCCAATAAGTGCCGCAAGAAGAAGAAGGAGCATGCTAACCAGCTGGAGAGTCGCTTCAAGACGGTCTCGCGGGAGAATAAGCTCTTGGAAAGCCAAGCGGATCACCTGCGAAGCGTAATCTTGAACCTTAAAAGCGAGCTGCTGCGACATTCCCACTGTGGAGATGAGAGGATTAAGTGCCATTTGGCAAAATTGGTGAAGCAGCTTTCTGATAAAACTGGCACGACAGCTTAGAGTTCGGAGGAGAAGAAAGAATCATTACCTCCAACAGAGAGCCCCAAGAAGGAGCAGGATATGGCAATGGATATTGAGGATCTGTGGTGCAGCTTACGGCTGCCGCGGATGGCTCAGTAACAGAGGCAAAAAGATCCTGGGTAAAGGTCTGATTTCGAGATCGTTGATGGTTTGTATATAATGACCTGTGATGATATGATCAATGTATATATGATGAGGCGCTGTAGATATTTCTGTTTTCTTCCTCTCTCGACGTCCCTACCTTTTATCCTTTCTAATGATTTTTTCCCCTTCCTTTCCTCTTATGTTACCTCCTCTAGCTTTTTTCTCTTCCGGACTTGGTTCAGAGTTACAATTGTCAACGACAGTGAAAGGTGTTGTGTCTGGGCTAGATTATAGATACGATTGATGATGGTAGTAGCTAGCATACTTGGCGATTTTGCTGGGTATAATGTGGCAAGGGGTGTTTTCTGATGGGGGCCAAATTAACTTCAATCCAACTACTTCGATCACATCATGCTTTCAAGTATTCCGTTGAGGATGAATCTATTCAAATATATCGCCCGCCGTCATTATTTTCAATAATAACTGATCGGGTGGCCAATAGCATTCGCGACGGCACCACTTACTCAACTGAGATCACAATGATAATCGCCTTCCAATACCTTAACACCTCTTCTAATACGTGTGCCATGCTGACAAACCTGATTATCAATTGGAACAGTAATAATGTCGTAGCTTCCATACTGAACACATTTAACCCATACTTGACTAATAGTACAGCTCGATTCATATCACATAACAAACCCTTTCCCCTAACATGGCCGATCATAATGTAACTGGGAACAGTATTAATTACTCCTCCAGCATATCCCCACCAGTCCCCCATCCTCCCTTCCAACCAGCCTCTCAAGCCTGGGGATCTCCCGGCTCGAAGCACCCTCCACATGACATTTCCGCCCTTGTGGCCGGCTTCCTGGGCCCGTTCTTAGCCGGGCTGGAAGCTACCACCGGAGGCTTGGCCGCCAATGGAGGCGATGTTGCGCTGTTCACTTTGGTTAGGAGTTTATCCTGTAGAGGTAGGGGACAAGATATCGAATTACCTGCTCGTCTCCGTCCATGGGGGCAAATTCACCGGAGTGGCTAGATTGGCCACCCTTGCGGGCGATATTTTGGACTCCTTTTGTGGGGGCGGTTGGCGGAGTTTCCGGGGTTGCCGGTGCTGAAGTTAGAAGCCCTTTTGATGGTTGTATTGTAGCGTGTGTAGTGTGGAGTATATGAGTATGTGGTAGGCTTTTGGACAGATGCTTATTGGTCAAAATGAGAGATCAAGTTCGCAAGTTTACGGTAGATTAATTGTAGGTCTCGCTTGGACTCTGGATGATGATGCTCTATATTAGTTATTGGTCTACCATGACTAGTCGCTGATGTCAATGCCAATGCAGTAACTATGACCAAGATCATTGTATGCGTGGTATAGCCAGGCTTGTTCCAAGTTTCGAGAAATTTCCCAAGGTACTGACTGCGCGGGTCTAAACAGTATATCTCTATGGGTAGGTACATCATTGGAGTGAAACCACTTGAGGGAATTACGAAGAGGTGAGCTCACGTTCTTTTTCTCATTTTTGTTTCTTCTCGAGAAAAGTATGGAACGTTGGATGCGGTGGTCATTGTGATGCTGTCGTGGATGGTCTGGGCTTGGTCGGTGGTGGTACGGTGGCATTGTGCTTGCTGATTTGCAGAGGATGCGGGTTACTAGTGGACCGAAGGGTGGGGTTATTGATCGATCGGATACTAGTATCTTGATGTGATCTTCCCCCGTGCAATTGCCCTATAATGGAAGAGATGGAGATATCGTGGACGGACTACCACCCTTGTTGGCGTTGGACAGTCGAGACGAGGGTACGGTCTGACCAGGGCCTCTAGATAGCACGGATAGAGGTGGGGCAGCCACACTCTAAAAGGATGGACCTTGACCCGCGTACAGAGCCTCATTCCTCACTCCACGAGGAGGTTAGGAGCAACAGGAGTGTCTGCTAATGGGCCTCGATCTAAGACATTCTCTATGACTGTTATTCTCGGGACATTACTATCAACCATCATCATTATCTCATCCTTATCCGCTCCCAATCAAACTGCTCCCCCATTCCCTGGGTCTGAAAGTCAATCTGAACAGTTGTTCCACCACTTCCCCGTCATCCCAGCCGGGGGCTCCCTGGGGATCCTGAGTGGCAGGGCCTTTTTGCCGGAACACGGGACGAGAGAGCCCTGGACCATGGGCGATCCCCGGTCTGTGCAATGAGCTGCCGTTGAGCTCTGGCCACTTAGCATGCTTGCGGCCTGCTGGGGATATCATGGTACATAATCCCTGTCACTAACTATTGCTAAATTGCGTCGCATTATTTCCCATCTGATGCTAGACCTTTTCTATGTTCTCTATGTAAATACTTCTTCAAATCAGATCTGACCCTTACAAAACGAAAGATATATGTACAACGGTGCAACGCTCAGAAAATGTTATCAACAACATGCTTCTAAACCCCCTTTCACCGGTCGCAGTTGATAAAATAATACCGAATAGTTATTCCAACAGTGAATCGGGCAGCTAGAATCATCATCATGTTAAATGTATGTGGGCTACCACGAATCCATCCTACATCACTGCGACTCTCTTTGTAGCGGTGTATCTATATGGTCATTGAAGTGCTCTTATTCTTTCTTTCGCCCTCGTCCCCTTATTCTTGCTCATGGCTCTCCTGCCCCTCTACCCATTCGAGCCTTCTATCCATAGTGTCCCACCTATTCTGTGCAAAGCACCGAATCTCTTGGCCGTTGGCGGGTGGGATAAGCTCGTTAGATGCTCGGAAAATTGTCGGGCCGTTGCAGACCAGATGGCAGCTAGGCAGCTCCATGGAGAGCATACAAGTTGAGTGGGTGGAGGGGCATGGGAAGGGGTGGATGAACGATATTACGTGCAATGATGAAACAGGAGGAATCACTGTCTGTGGGGCGACTATTCGACCACTTAAAACCGACGAGCGAACAGGCGTATCCGTCGAGATTAAAAGAGACCGATTGTCTTTCTGCATGGTAATCCAAGCTGCAGCTATATGTGGAGAAATGTGCTAGTGTCCCCTTTCTCTATAGGTCATGAAGCCGGGCTTGAAACTGACTACGAGCGTGATCCGAATTTCATGTAGACATTGCCTCCTTTGTCTAGATAAGGACACGATGTCTACGCTTTGGATTGGCTTCGTTACGGCAGAAGTGATAAGATTCTGCGCCCTGATAGAATCATATTTGATGTCCGAATCCGCTATTTGATTCAGTTCTTCGAAGCCACTAGGATTACAAATGCAGTTCTAGTTGCCCATGATTGGCGCGGGTAAGTAAGGTATGGTATTGCATCCGGTAATGTAGAACATTAAATCCTAAAAGACAAGGCTTGAGCCCAAGACTACCTGGCTGGCCTGGATCTTACAAATGCTGTGACAAATATAGATTCAAACAACTATACAAATTAGACCCTGATGTTACCTGTGCCATGTTCTGGTAAACATATCCCGAACCTTGCGCAAGAAACCGGACCCAGTTCTCAAGTACATGCTATGATTTGATGGCGAACCTCGAAATCGAGACTGCGTCATAAAATATTCCCTAGGCGACCATGGTGTTACTCCCAAATGTCGACGGCACAATGGGCAGCGGTTTGATCCTCGATCCACCCAGTCAGTGACACAAGGCGAGTGAAAATAATGGCCGCATGCCAGCTGGCGGTAGGACGTATCCAATCCCAGATTCTCCAGGCAGAACAGACACGTGTCTGGTAGGCTTTCTGAACGTCGTCAGTCTGACTGGAAAGAGAGAAAATACATGGTGGAGTGATGAATGGCTTGCGCACCGTATGCTGTTATAAGTTTATCAAATCCGCTAGCAGCGACTTTATCCATCATGATGACTCTGGAATAAGGGTTGCAAGCGCCCAGTTGCATGGATATCTCTCCATCGTATCGCACCTGAAAATGAGGCTAGGAAGTTTCATAATACAGCTAGTACATCCTCTAGAAATATACTCCTCACGTGAGCTCTAATCGCAGTAATCTGGATGCAGCAGGGTACGACATATAGATAGATATAATACTGGGCTCTGCTCAGATGCTACCAGTGGCTCAAAGCATCCCTATCCATAACCACAGATTATTCTCACTGAACCCGTTTTGCAATGGGAAAGGTGGGACCGAGCGGCCCCTCCTCCATTCTACCTTTTCTAATTACTGAGAAGGGAGGAGGCGTAACCAAACAGAAGTTAAGCTAACCCAACCTAAGTGAGAGGAATTACCCTGCCAGCCCGCGGTAGGGAGGGAGATGACGCAGTGCTCTTGTAACGCCACAACAAGTCGAGCCCACTTTGATGTTTTCGTGCGAATGAGAAGCGATTTGATGATAAGGACAATGATGACGTATACGGGAGTTCAGGCGATGTGTCTGCCCACAGTCTATCATCAATAAAAAACAAGACTTGCATTGTCGAGTCAAAATCAAATACTTGCCTCCTGTAACCAGTCGTTGTAATATCTCGCTCGCAGATATCACCGTCGTCATGAAGCTTCCATGGTACCCTTAACCTACAGGATCTAATGAACCTCCACTGCACCTCTGACGATGATACTGATAACAATTGATAAGGCATACTGGATCTGCATAGACACAAAAACTGTCCCGTTAGTATTGACCTCTCCAACTGGAGCGAGGGCAACCTACCGTCAAACCTTTGACTACTACGAAGGGAGAACCAAAAGCATTATTACATACATCATTCTGGACTTCATTTGGTCCTGCGCACACAGCAAATGGAGGAGCACGTTCTTGGCACGCCTTGGACTTGGTGCGACGGATGGGAATGCTCATCCTCGTTTACTTGATTGGCTTGATTCGACCAAACGTGCGCAGTTGTACGTGGAAGGTCATCATCTCGCAATGTGCTTTTGCTATCTGCTTGTCGTAGCACCTTCGGCCCGATGGATTACGACAGATTATTCTTGATTAGGGCGTAGATGAGCAAGTAGCTCTGCGTCCGGCTTACCGTATTTGACGTATCTACATCAGCCTCGAAGAATCCCTTCAATTTTTTTGCGCTCTTCAACGTCTGGGTGGGAGCGCATCGCAATTGTACTGCCGAATGTTACACGTTGGTATTACCCAGCGCGGTAGCTTGATAATTCTTGTGCCCGCTTCGCCAATACTTGGTGAGGTCGAGATGGCAGCAATTCTCCAGACTACCGTGCCATTAGCAAGTAGTTTTATGAGCCGAATCGGTTGGCTGATCACATACTAAGAGGCGGCAACTAGTTCGAAAGATGCATGAAGGTGAGAGCGTAAGTTTATGATTATCAATGCTGGGAAAACAGCTTGATGACTGGCCTAGACATGTTTTGATTGATGTCTCACGGACCCTTCCAAGGCGGTAAGCGGCCACTCCGTAAGAGAGTATCAGTATCATAGAGATACTTGCCTGGAAAGGTTCCCAGAGAGGATTTCTTTAGGTTATTTCGAGACGTGTTTTATCTGAATTGCGGTGGTGATGATAAGGGGGCAACAAGTATCCAGGAGCGCTTGGTCCCGAAGACAGTCGTGTTCAACCAACCCTATCCTGTCGATTGGAAGTGACCCAATGGTAACTTAACAGAAGGACTCAGGATTGGATAAGAGCACAAAAATCCTTGAATCCTAGATATTAGATATGTCGTGCTAGCTTTTGGATGCAAGCTTTCATTCTTGTTGCTGAAAGGGCATTCTATATCTTCAATCGAGCCTCAACAGTGGTGTCCTTTAACGATCTTCATATCTTAACATACTGATAGTCAAACAATCGGGTAGTCTGCTTCCTAACATTTCACCTATTGATACTGTATGCTACCCCTTGAAGAAATGGTTAATATATAAGGCGATAGACTAAGACGTTGTCGGGAGGCCTCGGAGAAAGGTGTGGTGCCGGTGTCCGCGTACGCGCATTCACATGGTTGGATTCACCTCATGGACTTCTAGGATAACGCCTCATCGGACCAGGCATTTTTGATGATATCTAAATCCTCGTTGTCTCTACTATAAGGTTAGATTTTCCTTACCTAGCCGGCAGCGTGTCTGCAGGGTCGCACTGTGGTGAGCCTGACCTACCAGTAATGACTGAGACTTGAGTTTTACCAACTGGTAAGGATGGGTAGCGCTGCACGAAAAAATACCTGTCATTGCCGATGCTGATACAGGGCCTGGCGGGCCCTTCAACATTGCTAGATCTACTGGAGTTAGGCAGGCGTTGATGATCAATGCTGTTGGCTGATTAGCTGAGGCCGAACAGAAGATAAAGAGCAGTCGCATAAGCAACCTGGCCACGTAGCATTTCTGGGCCCGAGAATATATCAAGCTCTTTGCAATGTTGTCTCAAGGAGCCGCTTGGCGAACCGGTGGCAATAGAAAATACTTGCATACCCGCTATTTATTCTTCCATTCATTCAAAACTTGGCTAACAATCCGCTGCGATTAGATTAGCGTTGATACGAACATACTGCGCAGTTATAACTGACCGTTTTGGCTTCGATTTCTTGCTTCAGTTCACCTTGCATCGTCTCGTAAGGGTTGAACTCTCGTTTCGAGAAGGAGGCCTCGAGTATCCAATATTTCCAAGCTCGATCTGAACCAACAGTTGGATTGACTGACGAGATAAGGTGAATGACCAGGAGGGGACATATTGCCACAGTCCCGCCGACCCAGAGGTATGGTTTATCACATGAAACTTGAACAACCCCTGTCAAAGCACCCCCAATAGCGCGAACCCTCCCGTCGGTACTTTCCCTATTGACCAGGTCTCCTGCGGCTCTGACTCGAAGGTGCCCTGTCTGACAACACCGGTAAAAGTAAGTACTAGCACCTTCGGTTGGCGTATATATCACCTCTCAGTGACCTTAGGCGTCCAGGGGTATCTCCATTGTACAAGAGCTTAGAGTCGAAGTATTGATGTTGACAATGGGATACAAGAGGAACGAACTGGTGAGTCAAGATTCTGTGACCTTCTTTGATGTAGGATCAGTTTAATGCTTGTCACTTCTTCGACATGACTAGCCCCATACCGTCTCAAGATCAGGACCCCTGCCTTGTCCAACTGACCGAACAAATGTATTCCTACTGGGCTTACTGCCAGACTCTTCGCAATTATACCCATCTACTCCAGGCGCAACTTGATTGCAGCCACAGAGAAACGGCGAGATGCCATCAAAACTATATCATGGAATGCCACAAACGTGCCCAGGCTGTGTCCAATTTAATGCAGCGATAGGACCAATTTCGACGTCTCTGAAATGCTGTCTGAAGGAGCGGAAAATTTACCGGGCCCGGTTCATCTTTTCTTGAAATTAGAGACAAGGAATCGGTCGCTCAAACAGGCGGAGATAAGATCAGTCAGCGGGTATGCGCATTGCAAGAAGCTTGACAGGATCTGGAGAACAGTTTTACGAAGTGATATAGATCTCCAATCACTGAGAACGAGCACTCCTTTTGTGCAGTAGTTCTAGGCCCATCGATTTCTCCGGTACTCCATCGGAGGATTCAGGGCAATCTAAGAAATGGGAAAGGGCCCTGAGGGAAAAAATGGAAAACTTATCCTTGGTGCCTAGTCTAATACATTGCATATTTAAAGTATACAAGATGACAAATATTCGTATTGTCAGAACATCTGTTCCATGACTCAGTAGAAAAGAGGCATTATGCTCCATAGTTGCGATAGTCTCTGATGAAACGGGCGCGCTTTTTGTAGCTAGAATGTTCAAAACCTGGCCTAGCCTTCCTGTGAATCCGTAGTTCGCATGATTTGCATTCCGTGCGTGCCGGCACCCTCGGTAATCTACGGCACCTAATTATATCGACTCTAAGCCGATCGACAAGATGGCGCAGCGATGACGGGAAACCACCTAAGGGTGGTAGTTGATGCGGGTGAAGCTCAAGGGACAACAGAATGATACTGTCTAGTCCTCCGACCTCAAATTTGATAGGCGCACAATATCTGACGCAGTCGCAGCAGACTGCATCATTAAAAGGCGAATACCTAGTCGGAACGTGCCGAGGACAAATGTTGAGGCTTGCGGATGGAGTCGGCGCAGTGCCTGAACCAACTCTTTCCCCCGCAGCCGACCTCTGATGGCTCTGCAGCACTGATAATCCAGCACGAAGGGGAGGAGAGTTCAAAGAAAAGGCTAGGAAGAAGCAAGGAGGTTAACGCTCCAGGTACTTGCCTTTCGGCAGTTTTATCAGCTAATCCATTCCACCTGAGCGTCTGCGTTCAAGAGTGGCTCCTGATTGGGGAAACGTAACGTTGAGTCGGTGGTAGTTTCGCCTGTCCGTGTGGTCCACTTGCCCAAGAAGATCTTCCCACGCTTGCTCGGCGTCCATTGACGCTAAGAACGAGTCGTAGAGGCGAAACGCAAACCTGCGTGGCCAGCGTCGGCGGCGCTGTCTTCCGGTCTTGCCGGTGCCCAATGAGATCAAGGTACCAGGCACTGGGTCCGCCCACATGAAAGGCGTTTCAGCCCGACAAATCAAAACCGTATTGTTGTGCTTGAGGCCGCCGTCCTCGCAGCTCCCAACGCCAAGTATCTGAATAGGAGGGAAGAATCTAGCTTTCTTGTGAGCTCAATACAAGCCCCTCTCGAATAGAAGACTGACATGTGTGCTGCACTTGTTGCTGAGGCACTGTGGCGGAGTCAGCTTCCTACCTTTACTAGAAATCAAGTAATTGCTGACCTATTATATCCATAGCCGGGACTCATATTCCGGGTCTGGTGCTGTGTACACCCGGTAGTGACCCCTGAATGGGTCAATGGCGCTACCCGGTGGTTTGCATCACATCATCCGAGTGAGCCTGCCCCGGAAGGTCGACTGTCCGAAGGCCACCCGTCTTGGTTAGGATGCGAGACTTTCGAACTCCTACACGGCCGGGGTCGTTCTCTATTTTCTCGTTTCTCTTTTTCTTCTCTCATAACCTGACCGTTTATTACATCCCGCGCTTATCTCACCAGCAGCTCGGATTATACCTCGATTTACAACGCCGCGCAGATTGTAGGACCAAACAAGTCATGTCAGTGGGATACCTGTGCCGAGCTGGCCAATATATGCGGTACTACCAAAGCTCAGTTCACCATTTTGAAACACTTTTCATTAACTAATTCAAGACTTTAAACATTCAGGGTTCAAACACTTACAATAGTGGTGGCAATATCCCTCGCAATATTATCATGCTTATCTGGGTTATTCATATTTCCCCAAGGAATTGAACCCCCATGAGCACGTAGCTCTTTACCAAGCAAGTAAATCCCTAAACCTGGCTGCTTTGAAACCCTCACCACCGGCTGCAGTAGATCCCCCAAATCCTTAACATGTTTGACCTCCTTGCGCAGGAACCGCGTCTCGTTAGCATCCTGCAGTGGTGAATCACCGCATTTACTTGCTAAGGCGGCCATTCGCTCCAGGTCTTCAAGGAGTCGCTTCTCCGCAATGAAGGCCTCCTTACAGGGTCCCACAGGCTCTATTGGATTGTCTGGCCAGTCAATTTGAGGCGGTTCGATACATGAGGGTTTGGACCGGCCGCCGCGGGTGATCAGGTATTTCTCAAGCCAATGGAAGTCAACTAGGCATTCTGCAGCAGAGCGTTCCCGGAGTCTCCAAATTCGATATATCAGCTTTTCATTCAATGAAGATACGAGGGTTAGTGGACTCACTGGGAAAATCCATGCAGGGCTATATTGCTGCGTGAACAGTCTGCGGCCAGCTTGCAGAAAAAGAGCCAGGTGGCTAGCTCTTGATGAATATGACCGCGGACTGACTAACGAGTTAGCGTGATAACATGCAGAGGCAGGTTATTGATTACCTCTTGGAGCTCAGGCGTCATGGATTTAACCTGAAGCCATTGGTCAATGTCCTGACTAGAAATATCTGCAATGATCTTCTTCGCTTCTTCAGTAGCCATGGTTCAGGTTGTCTGCAGCGAGCGGGCACTTGTAAACTGTTAGATTTGCGAGAAGTCCTACCGGCGCTCGTGTTTATATGAAATTTGAACCTTCACCATAAAGCACGACGTTTCTCTGACGCAATTTAGGCGTCAGGCATCTATCATTTGAACTTTCCCACAATGCAGAGATGCGTTATCCCAGCCAGAACAGACAAAGTCCGCCGCTTTCTATTTACGTCAGAAACCCTCCGATCATAGCTGACATCAGTCAAACCTGGAAAGCCGCACAAGGGAGGAAGTTACACGTAGGTAAACCTGATAGAGTTGGTCCAATAAGACTTGCCAACCTGAATCGGTCTCGCTATTACTTCAAGTGGGCGAGACCACTGTCTATTAAATTCCGGCTTAAAATACCCTCGGAAAGATAACTGCGAAGATTAACACATTAATCTGAAAATAATTGCTTCACCCTTTCTTTCAGCTAAATTTTACTATAAATCACCTGGCTTCACTTAGGAGTCTTGCTAGTGCTGCATGTTAATAAGCATATATTAACACATTTCTTAGAATCGCTGGGTCCTTGATGTCCGTGTTCGGGCTACAAGGACGAAAGCGGATGGGTACGCCTACATCCCGTGGCACATCTGAAGATATATTATCGCACAATGGTATGTTAGTGTAAAACAAGTTCAGGTGGCAACGCCCTTTAGACCTTGAGTATTTGGATCTTATGTGACAATTCATGTGATATCTTCTTTAGGTGTTGAAAGTGCCTCCATCAAAACGCCAGGCTCCGGTCATCACCGGCCCATGGCCTTTCGGAGCGAAAGGAATCTCCAGCGGCGATACTCGAAAATTGTACATGAACAGAAACTGGGATTTCAGCAAATTACTTGGGCTTCACACTTTTACTAAGATGCTGGTTGCGCCTCAGAAGTGATATAAAGCATGTATTACTCCTGTATCCACGTAGAGACGCTGGGACGCTCAATATGGTTGTAGTGGACAGATATGATTCCATCCACCCCGAGCACTCGCAAAGCAAAGCGATATGCAGACTACCTACAATTATGTTTATATTCCTTGTATTTCTATTGTGCGTGGACCCTTTTCTAGAGCGAACTTTCAGCCTCGGCTTGGGGTCTATGGTGGCTGTTTGCCGAATTCTGTGCAAGTTGGGCCTTGGTCCGCGGCTACGAAATATTTAAGATGCTCCTGCAAAATCCGATACAACCTTCACATGGCTAGCTTCCCCTATCCCTCCGACCATGGCTGATATATGCACAAATGCCTCTCCAACTTCCTTGTGTAGCTTTCTTCGCGCGCTCCCAATATTTCTTTTTTTTTTTTTGTTTTTTCCTTTGTTATTTAATTTATTTTTCCCCCTCTTTTTGGCAGTCAGAGTATGGCATGAGCGACTGTTTCCTTTTCACCATATCCACATTTGTCGTCTTCTCGGAATCGAGATTGCAGAGCTTACCATAAAGTGCTAGCCAGCTGTGACCAGCTCCCAATTGGGTGACCAGGTAGGTACCATCTAATGGCAAGGGATCGTAAAGTCGCCGGGTGCGGACTGCTGGCACCTTGGTGTCAATCCGCCGAAGGTGGGTTCCCTTTGGGATGTCTCCCATTCATGTTTTTCTCCTCTGGAATACGTCTTCCGATGGTGGCATCTTCCGAGGCAAGGTTACAAAAAGGATACTGTACATATTTCTGGACCAACTGTCATTTTAGCGGGCTTATCTGCGGCATCATTTCCAGGGTCGTCGCAGTGTCCGGGGGCCCATTGAAGGCAGAGCGGAATGCCTTATACTCTCTACAGTAGGCTGCCTGCAAATCAACACGGATAATTCGTTGTCTTGCTTTATAGCGTAGGTCCCTGATTGCCTCCGGTGCTGAACATGCTGTCGCAGAGGTCTGTTGCTGGTGTATGCTCTGGTATTCTTAGGACTCTTGATCTTAGGCTTACTCGCTTGAGAACAAGGCTTGTAGCATTAAATCTTCCAAAGAGCTTTGCGGCATACGCCTATCACTTCTGCATAGAGCCCATGGAGAGTTGTAGGGATTCTACTACCTCTTGCTTGTGATCCAGAATCACTGCCGCTGCACCACGTTGGTTGTTTTGTTCCCCGATGCATCCGAGGACTACTATGTTGGATGACGCTTGCAGAGCAGTGGCCTTTGTGTTTTGCTCTGTCTCGGTCTGGCTCAATGCCAAGTTTCACGAAAGCTGGGGAGTTCTACGGAGTCACTGGCTTCGGACCGATCGTTTATAGTCCATCTACTTGTTCGGGCTTCATAATCTTCTCTAATTCAGCGAGAGGAGAACCAGCTTTGGGATCCCACGTTACCTATTGAGACGCAGGTTTGGGACGAAGTCAGATTCTACCAGGCTATGAACATCCGTTGGGACAAAGTCAATGGGACTTAAAATGGCTCTTACTGAGAGATGTTTGTTGCAAAGGCAACGAGCAGATCCACCTGGGTCGAACTCGGTCGAAATATTCACGGTTGAGATGTCTTCATGACTCACCGGGTTGCTGTGAGTCAGAAATATGAAGAGCCTTTTCGTTCGGTTAGTGTAACCACCGCTATCAATGACAATCGGCGCGTAAGTGGCCAACGGTCCGTTGACCCTAGTGATGATCGATGATTCTCAGACCACGGCACGCGAGCCCAGTCATAAACGACCGTAATTCTTTGCCTTGACTTGCTTCAGCAGTCGGGTTAAGGCCAGCTCAGCAAGGTGGACGGTCTTTTGAAGCAAGGCTCCTCTTGCAGACTCCCATGTTCGAGCGTCAAAATTCCAGTAACTGTCAACCTCGGTCATATCAACGAGACTGCGGCGCGCGTTTTCTATGAAGGAAATATCCAACCTTTAATCCTCATCTTCCAAAGGGCCTGAGCAATGATATAATACTGACTTTAAGCACGTTCCCATCCAACTTGACAATGGTTAGTGCACAATAGACCCATGAAATTGCCCGTCTGATCATTGGATGAGCAAAAGATCTCGCACCGACGAGGTACTCTAGCGACGCCTTGAGCAAAGCAGCGCCCAGTCGGGCCAAAGAACAGGTAAGTCTCCAGTAAAGTTATTCATTGCTAAAGATGACCGGACAGGGTTGTGTTCGGCTGAAACCACGGTTTTCCTCGCTTGCACGCGAGTGGTTTATTTGAGAGATATGTTGCCCGTTCGTTTCGACGGGTATCTTCCAGGCATCGAAACTGATTCTGCTTTTACCTTTGTCCAGCATTATAGTAGGGCTTTGCGCTTGTTAGGGTCCGACGAACCTGTAGACGCCGTGCGTTTCTCATCCGAAATATGGTAGCAAGCCCTTCGCGCTTGTTCGCGGTCCATTGAAAGACCCAGCCGCCGGGAAGCTCAATGACCTGCAGACCAGGGGTAGGGCAACCGGAGCCTGTAAAAAGGTGGTGAAAATTTTCACTCGTTGGACGTGGTCAAGTAATTAACCAAACTGTCTTTCTTTGGGAGCGGGTACCTGCCACGAAAATCTGTGGGGTTTTGATATCTGTTCGGAGAGCAAAATTGCTCGGGCGGCTAGGATATTGTTCCTAATCAGGCAAAGCGTCTCACTACCGCTTGGCATCGGACGGTCTCTAAAGCCACCTTTCTGGGGCCATCAAGGGCAATCAGCTTTCGTGCTACAGTATCCCAGCATCTATTTCTTTTGACTCGAAGCGCTGTAAAGTGATACCATTGGATGTGACTTTCCGTATCGTGCTTCGCTAGTCCTCATCCTGGAGGCAGAATGTTGATCTCCCGGTTTCAGCCCGAGTCAGCACATCCAGGCCCAGTGAGGACAAGACGTTGTTGGGGCATGCGACTATTCAACAAGCCTCAGGCTTTCCTTACAAATGTCGGTCTGATAAGTAGAAGGTTCGGCAGGCCTGGTTGCCCACTAAATCATAACATCAGCTCGTTTTAAGCTGCTGCCGCGAAGAATCCACTACGGCTTAGGAGGTGCTGCTAAAAATAAGTGACTGAATTCTGCAAAATTTTTTGGTTGTCTACAAGTTGGGGCAGGATACATCCTTTACAGCCCAGGCCGGAAACACATGTCGTTTTATCTACAGGGAGTAGCCTGTAGAAGTTTATTGCGCAACTTCTTCATCATCGCAGAAGCTTGTGCAGCGGTATCCTGACGGCTCTCCTGGAGTCTGTATTTACAGTACCAGTCCGGATTCCCTCTTCCGTTACCCACGGGACCAGGATTCGACACGATCTTCTGGCATTAGATCGTGGGTCCAGACAAATGCCCGAAATTGGCAGAAATTCTCGTGGACTATGAGGGAAGCCAATCGATTGTCGCTTCTCAATGTTGTTTGATCAGCTCCATCGTTGGTAAATGGTGGGTGAACAGTTTAGGCTAAAGGCAGGTCAGTATCTGCCTAACCCCATGCTCGATAATTCTTGCAGTGTAAGGTTTCCGCTCTTCGCGCGACTACCTGGGTCACTGTCCCAATATCCGGACATGCTCTCTTTTGATTCATGTTGGAGAAGGATATGGGGTTGATTGTCCACCTCGTCATTGCTCGCTCCGCGCTGAGAGGTCACAATATCTACCCAGATGCTATAGATTTAGCCGTCGAACATAAGGAAATCCAGTGAGCCTCGGATATGAAATGAGGACAAGTCCTGCTCGAAATCCATGTCGAAGTGGAAGTGCGGTTGTGGTTCGCCAAACAAGGTAAGAGCATCTTCGACACCTTTCGAAGGACGACTCCTGTACTGCAAAAGGTAATTTGAACCTTCACTGCATGGTAACGACATGGATGGGCGCTTTTTTGCAAAGATAGCGGATCGATGGACGATATGGTCTGACGTCTACTCCGCGCAAGCTGGCGAGCGAGGTGGGCGCATCTGTTCCCTGCGTCCAGAATACCCATGACACGCCCAGCGGCGGGTTGCATGAAGAACATGAGAAAGTGTCAGACTCTGCTTGGCCATAGTCGAACTCCATGTCAACGGGCTCTTTGCGAAGGAAGGGGTGATCCAGCTGCTCGATGGCGCTGGTGGTCACGATCAGGATGCAGTCTATCTGTGCGGCTACGTCATCATTGGGGCTAAGCAAAGCAGACAGAGCGAACCTGTTGGAGGGTTGTCTGTCACTGTCCGCTTCCATTTCTCCATCCTGCAAACAATGTTGGGAATGTGATGCCGATGGCTCTGATGATAAGATTGAAACACCATGACTAGATCATGTTTTGCAACTCTAACTGCTAATGGCCTCTATGACGAGAGCAATTGGTAGGCGTCTGGTCCCTTTTGAAGGGCAACTACTACCGGGACCTCAAGAGATTGCATGGAACGAATTGGCTGCCAAATGTATCGGCGAGAGGAAATACATGCCGGCAATCTACAGCATCGAGGCGACCACAAGGTGCTTTTGAAATAGACGGGGGAAACACGGGTTTCCTACTTGTTAATGAGATAGACGGGGGAAACACGGGTTTCCTACTTGTTAATGAGATAGACGGGGGAAACACGGGTTTCCTACTTGTTAATGAGGTCCGTTGGGTAATAAATGCATGTTGCCTGATTCTCAAAGCCTAGATTATGCAGTAGCTTTGTTACTCCAACATGCAGTCAACAGGAGGAGAGTAAGCCTATTTTCTCTAACGTAATCAACGGTCGGACGGGCCATCTGGTAATACCATATAAAAGATACCTTTTTAAACACAATATATCTCAAACATTATAGTCTAGAAAGATTAGATTTCTTCTATATAGGTTTTAAATAATATAGAAATAGCATTATATGCTTTTCAAAAATCCCTTTGAATATATTTAATAGATTATCCTATTACGATTTCGGTATTTTAAGTGTATTATATAAGACTTCAATCTGACTATGTCAAACAGAAATTTAATAATCATAAAAAGATATGGGATATCTATCCTTACATATATAATCTATTTACAAAGTTAGAGCTTCTTAAGTATAGTATTGGTTGATAGATAAAAGAATCAAAAAGACATCGTTTATATGGGATAACAGGATGGCCCGCCCAACCGTGTGGCCCGTCCGAACGTTGATGAATGTAATCACCAATCGGACGGGCCACACAATCGGGCGGGCCACCTCTTCGAAAACACCACCTTCAATCTCCTACCTGAGGCCTTTTAACCACTACAGATGCCACCAAAAACACCTATCTCGTCTAAATCGCGGGTGGAGCAAGAAGGAAGGATTCTTCTTGCTATTGAAGCTATTCAGAAAGGCTAATTCGCTAGTATTCGCGAGGCAGTGCGTGTTTACAATGTCGCTCGAACCACTCTTGAGGCTTGATTAGTTGAACGTGACTTTATCAGAGATATAGTCAACACACGCCAAAAATTATCGAAATTTGAAGAGGAATCGCTTGTCAAATGGATTCTATCTCTAGATAAGCGAGGCGCAAGTCCTCGGCCGCTTGAAGTCAGAAAAATGGCTAATCTAATCCTTTCTAAACGAGGTTATTCAAATTCCGAAGAAGTAGGCAATAATTGGGCTTATAACTTTGTTAAACGCCACGAATCTCTACGTACCCGTTTTGCTAGACGATACAACTATCAAAGAGCTAAAATGGAGGATTCTGATATTATAAGAGACTGGTTCAATCGGGTCAACGAAGTATTCAAGAGTACGGGATCTCATCAGATGATATATATTATTTTGATGAAACAGGGTTTGCTATGGAACTAATTGCTATATCTAAAGTAGTGACTAGTTCTTAAAGAGCTGGCCGGCCGTCTCTTATATAACCAGGGAATCGGGAATGGGTCACTTCTATTGAGTGTATTTGATCTAATGGAGTGGTTTTACCTCTGATCTTGATCTTCAAAGATAAAATATATCTAAAGGCGTGGTATGAAGATCAATCCGTTCCCTCTATCTGGAGGATCGAAGTCAGCGATAACGGTTGGACTACTGATATAATCCGACTTTGATGGCTTCAAAAACACTTCATTCCGTTGGTTAGAGGTAAATCAGTAGGCAAATACAGTTTTCTAGTCCTTGATAGCCACGGTAGTTATTTGACACCTGAATTCGACTAATCCTGTGTTGGAAATGATATTATACTTATTTGTTTACCTGCTCATTCGTCACACCTGCTTCAGTCTCTTGATGTCGGTTGTTTTAGCGTGCTTAAACGTACGTACGGAGGCATGGTCTAAAAGCAGATGCAATACGGCCGCAATTATATTGATAAGCTTGACTTCCTAGAGGTCTATCCTAAAGCTCATTAATATACTTTACAAGTCAAATATTATCAGTGGTTTTAGAGCAACAGGTCTAGTTCCCCTAGATCCTGATCGAGTGCTTTCTCAACTACATATTCGCTTGAAAATACTACTAAGTCCGGACAGTCAGTCAAGTGGCTCAGTGCTTCAAACACCACATAATATAAAGTATTTCTTGAAGCTTCAAAATACTGTGAAAAAGCTTACTTCAGAAGCGTCAGGCAAGTCCAACTTCATCTACACATTCTACACTACGCCAGCTCCTCAAAGGGTGCGAGCTAGCAATAACAAACTCAATTATACTGGCTAAGGAGAATGAGGAATTACGTGCTAGCCATGAAAAGCAGCTGGAAAAGAGGAAGCGTTCGAGGAAGCAGATGATCCATACAGAAGGCACTACTATTGAAGAGGCCCAGAAATCTATATAAGAAGAGGAAGAGGTGCAAGATGATGAAAAGGTTGAGGTTGAACCTCAATCTCAACCTACGGAGACCCCCTCGCGCGCGCCTCCACGCTGCAGTAATTGCTTCAATATTGGCTACTGACGTACACAGTATTCTAAACCACCTAGTAATTAGCTAGATAGCTTTTTAATAGGCATTTGTGTTGACTGAAAGGCTTCATAGTGATTATATCGGGCGATTGTAGCAGGCGGGTGGTCCGCCCGATTGTGTGGCCCGTCCGATTGGTGATTACGTTACGTTACCTAGTTATTTTGAAAGAGTTCTTGCTGATTAAGTGCTTGATTATGCACTTCCTCTCAGCGAGATTATACAACGGGAGATTTCCTTAGTGCTCATATTACACGAAATGTTGGTCTCACGAGCAATGCAATCGAAACCGTCCCTCGCCGTGGTAACCCTACTCGCTGAGGTAGGTGAGGTATCAGACTTCTCCATGTGCTGACGGGACAAATCTAGGTATCATCGAGCCGGCATTCTCTGAGACAAATGAACCTGAAACCGAAGCAGATATCTGCCTGAGGCAAACATTAACACCGGCTCAAGGGATGAGTAAGCCGGTAAACAAGCAGACACGCGCTCCCACACTCTATTACCCGCGCCCGCTAGTATCATCTGCGCTGTGGAGCACAATTTATTTCACTCGACTGTCTGCTGGTACTTTACTCGAAAAGGCATAGAGGAAACAATAGCCGAATTGCAACGTCAGGTTGAAGAACAATAAAGGCTTTGAGAAGCGGCAGGACGGCAAGAGGAGGAAGCTAGACAGACGAGAGAAGAGGCAAAACGGCGAGTGCAATCCGTTGATGCAGGAGGAGGTTGAGGCTGCCGTTCGGCGTGCTCGGTCCTGGAAGGCTCCCTGACAAGACGGGCTTCCGGTGGGAGTATGGTGAGAAGCGTGGCCAGCAATGGGAAAACGAATCTTCCAGATATTCGAAGCATCACTAAGGTTGAAATGTATCCCTGAAAGCTGGAGAACAACAAAGATCATCGTGCTCCACTGATTCAACATAGACCGGACGCTGCCTGAACCATATCGGCCAATAGCTCCCCTACCAACTCTCGCAAAATAATGGAGGCGATTGTAGCCAAGCGGATTTCCTGTCTGGTCGAGAAATATCAATTACTGCCAGCAAATCATTTCGGTGCACGCAGTAGACAATCCTGTGGGCAAGCACTGAATGTCTTGATGGAAAAGGTCTACGACGCGTAGAAAGTCAGGAAATGTCCTTACTCTCGTGATCTTCAACGTCAATATTGCATACAATGGGGTGCTCAAAGAGGTCCTCCTGCGCCGATTGTCAGAATCGACTCCCTGAAATTCTGGTACGGCTGATATCATGCTTCTGCACTGAGCGACCGTGCGCGGATCGTTGCCGATAAGTACTGCTCAAAGCTGATATCCTTTGATCATGCAGGGCTATCACAGGGCTCAACTTTATCGCCAACCCTGTCCCTTTATGAACGCCAAATTGGTGAAAGCTCGTATCACTGATAAGAAAGGTGCCATCGCGTTTGTGGACAACTACACCCATTCGGTGGTTGGCTCCTCTGCCCAGGCTAACACACTATGGTTACCAGGGAGACTAATTCCAAGGGCTCTTCAATGGGCCAGAGTCGGGGGCCTTGTTTGAACCAGAGGGAACAACATCATCCATTTCACAAGGAATCCTCGCCTCAGGCAACAAGCAGCGGTGCCTCTGTGGGTCGAGGGAACTCCTGTGCTAGCCCAGTCCGCTGTGAAGCTCCTAAGGGTCGTCCTAGATCAGAAATTACACTTTAGGCTCCATGCTGCCATGGCAGCGAAGAAGGGAATACAAGCAGCATTAGCGTGAAAGAGGCTCAAGGGGCTGGCGCTCAAGACTGCCCGACCACTGTTTACCTTGGCTGTGATGGCAACAGTGGACTATGCTGCATCGGTGTGGTGCAAACCTACCAAAGGCTATCTAGTCCCTCCCTAGGTGACCAAGACACTGTAAGCGGCACAAATACAGCCAATTTTAAGCTTATTCTGGACCGTATCATAGCTATCGTGAAGTCGGAAGCAAGTATCAAAAGCACCAACATTCGGCTAAAAACGAGATTTCTCCACCACTGGATCAGGTGTCACCCCCCCCTCCCCCCCCCCAAAACCCCCTCCCTTAACACATCCCTTTTGGGAATGTCGTGAAGCTATCTCCAATCAGAATGACAAGTTCTTCCACCGTTTAAACTTCTAACTGGCCACTGCTGCCGAAAATGGAGTTGGAGACAATCCTACCAACTGCATTGGACACTTGCAAGCCAACCACGAGGGATTATATCACCGCAGAGGAGGGAGTTCAATGACCGACGCCATCAACCCAATAGTAAAGCTCGATTAGAGACGTTCACCCATGGCGCTGCGCACCGAGGCGTCATCACGTGGGGTCTATGGCGAGAGTCCACAACGCAACCGTCCCCAATTGGCATCAGGCCATAGGAAGAGAAGAGCACATGAATATGTACTACAGGCAACTCAGAGCTATCTACGTAGCTGCAACCTATATGAAGACAATGGTCCCCAGGATTTCAATGGCGCCCTCCAGCGTTCACGTCATGTTCGTCACGAACTACCGCACTTTGCTCGAATTGCTCACAAACTTTCGCAACCAGTGGGCAATGGTTACTGAGTCAGATGATAAATGTCAGCCTTGAGATCGTTGAGAGACGAACCCAGGTCGAGCTACTGTGGTCGGCCGCCCACGACCTCACAGAAGGCGACGTAGAGTTTCGGTCACTCCTTAATCAAGGATCCGGCGATCCAAGCAGTCCTGATCGACACCCTCAGTGGACAGATACTCGAATCAAATTCACCTTGTGGAGTGAGGTGCGCCGGAAGATCTCGAAGGCAGAGATACAGGAATTCCAGAAACGTGCTGGGGGCAATTCACGCGACCTTCCGATACTACATTCCCAGGCAAGCACATGATACTCTTATACGTTGACCTAAATCAACACGAGGCATCTATGTTCCCACAGCTGAGAACAGACCACGCGGGTTTGCGGGTTTTTCTGTTTGCAATCCAGCAATTGAATAGCGGAGCCTGTGCGTGTATGCGAGGAAAGTGAGTTACTTTCTCTTTCGATGTAGAAGATGGGATCATCTTCGCAACGACATGGTTCCAGCGATGGGCGACAGGTTTGGCGATCTGTCATTTGCGCTAGGAGACTGATCGGGCTAGGTCGGCACCGACAGGAACCTCATCGATGGTGAGCTCGGTGGAAATCTAATCTAAAAGTGGTACGGGCTGTGTTAAAATTTGCGGCAAACAGAGGCAGGTTAATGAGGGAGACCCAAGGGGTCCGGATACAAAGGGGACGCTACCAAGACAAAATTGAGGATTGATGCAGGGCAGAACAGTACAAATGTAAGACATAACCATCAACGCTAGATAGAGTAAGGAGCCACTACTTTGGGGCTCCAAGCAACCTATGGCCGCAATAGCCTGAGAAAATATTATACTGATGGTGATGATAATTATCTAGGCTACGTAGCTGGGAGCTCGCAGGAGAGGTAAACAGTACATGACCTGTAAATCATCACCTGATGCTTGAATGCAGCCCTGCCTAGTAGGGAGTAGGTGCTCCAACAAGATGAATGGGTACCCGTCCCGACACTCAAAAGACCGGAAATGAGGTCGGGCTTACCGCAACGTTCCACCACCTCAACTTCTTTTTCCTCCTAAGAGTTCCTAGCCCACTCAATACTACTCACCACATGCGCTAGACCTTGTCTATTGCATAGATGATGGCTGACACGTTCTACATGGCAGAATTTGTTGACCTAATCGTCCACGTGCATTCGGTCAGAAACGATTGAATTTGTTGCCAGCCACAAAAGTACGTTGCGCTGCCACTTCGCTCGCCCCGGCCATCTTTGCCACTAATCCAGTCTGACTTTGGCTTGCGTATATCGCCTTTTGGACACTATGGAGATTTATTCACTCCGATGTCCTAGGCACAAAGTTTGAGCCGACAATCAGCTAACAAGTCTTCTGGAGAGTCACCGTCTTCACCGGGGAATAACCTTTCGTCTAGGTATGCAAACGTACAGCCTGTTGGACTTTTGGAGCTTTTAGACTTGTCCGGTAAATTTCACCTCGCTCGGAATGTGCTGCGGCGGTGGCGCGAGCTGACCAATGCTGCTCGTCTAGCTCGGCATATGATTGAATGATGCAACACTCAGTTGCCATCAAGGAGATGATAAACATCTTTACATCATCATTCATAGCGAAGCGTACCTATCGAGAAGTCAAGCTTCTAAGAAATTTACAGCACAAAATGCCTCTGGGCTCGCCTTCTAGCCTAGGCTAACGCCAGACAGCTCATTGGACTATATGATATTTGTCTTTCTCCGCTGGAAGATATGTACGACTGTTTGCTGGAAGAACGGAACATCGCACGAACGGATCATGGCAGGTACCTTGCTACCCAGCTTTTGAGGACGGACCTGGGCCGTCTGTTACAATCCAAACCCTGGATAACTAAATCAGCCAGCTCTTTACGTTTCAGCTAATGGTACCCAGTCTCATGAGACTCGTAATTCGAGCTCTTTAATGTTCTCCAGCATGCGCGGAAATGCATTCACTCGGCAGGCGTGATGCACTGGGATCCAAGCCAAGCAACATACTAATCGACGAGAACTGTGATCTGAAAATCTGTGACTTCGGGCTAGCGCGCGTGCGGGAGCACCGAATGTCAGGTTACTTTTCGACTCGATACTACCGGGCCCCGGAGATCATGCTAATGCGGCAGCAATACGGAGTCGAGGTAGACATATGGAGCGCAGGTTGCATCCTCGCGGAGATGTTACGGGGTGTACCGTTGTTTCCTGGAATGGATTATATTCACCAATTCTACCTCATTACCGATGTGATCGGCAATCCGCCGGAGGTCATGGAGAAGATAACCAGCAAGAATGCAGGTTGCCTCAATCCTCCCAGGATATGCATTTCTCGGTCTGACCGTGCTTTAGGCTCGCCATATTGCTGACGGACTATCGCAGAAGGAGCCACGGCAGCTTAGGGATATACTCAACCATCTGGACGGGATAGCACATATATATGTCTGGTCCCATCCCTGCCATAAGGCTCAGCCACCATAATACTCATTACAGCCACCGTGATATTTAACAGGGACCCCCCGAATCCCAGCCTGGGTAACCCGTGGGCGGGTTCAGAAGATGGAAACCCAACCCAGCCCGCGTTTTGGCGAGGTCTAACATAGAGAGTAGAGTTAGTGGATCCCTGCATATCGCCTAAAGGCGGGGGGCCAGCGTATGATTCAGCATCATCATCACCCTGTATAAGCAAGCTACTTTATGTACCTAATTCTGCCCAAGGACCTACCGACCGCTTCCTCGCTATGGCTCGACGTTATGTTTCGCCAATCGACTGTTCCGTCGCTCGTTTTTCTTGGCTCTCTTTGTGCCTCGGTACCTTGACTCACAAATCATTGATCCTTCTATCTCGTTAAGGTTCGATTTGGTATTTCACTTTATATCCCTATGAAAGAACAATCCAATAAATCCAACACCAGACATCAACTTTACATGTCAATGTAGTACTTCGCCTGAAAGGCGTAGCTCTGGATAATCGTTCAGCTGATTGAGTCCCTCCTTCAAATCTGTTGACTTTTTCGATGATTTCGGAGCACGAGCCACATAGAAGCAAAGGATCTGTTGCTCGAGACAGTGAGTGCAGCGCGGCCGCTGTTGATTGCACGACACACCCCAAGCCTTGCATGCCATGCATGGGTGACTTTTCAGGGCAGGACCATTAGCGGGTGGTCCCTCTAGCCCTCTGTCGGATTTGAGATAAGCAAATGGTGTATCTATGGTGTCAGACCGTTGCACCAATCCTGGCGGATCTTGATGAACGCCCGGTAATTGTGAATCTTGCGTGACCGCAAATTCTGGAAGGCTATCTGGAGCCCTTAAACCACCAACCATCCACGCCTGCCAAAACCATCGTGAAAAGCGCTTAAGGACGCATTCTTTCCCCATGGTTTATCTCGTAGCGCGCAATACACTTCTAAGGTGATCTTTAGCCGTGACTTCTATCTGGCCACGAGTACCTTTGTTTCAATAAGAAGAGTATTGCCGAGCCCACACTGATGTCGGAAGGTGCGACGTGGAGCTGCTAATTGAATCTCATAATAGGACGTTTCCGGTGCAGGAGGTTTGCGCATGTGAGGCTGCAGAATCTAATTGACAAGAATGAACGGGAAGACCTGACAGCCAGGCAGAGGACAATAATAATATAGCTTAGCAATACGAAGAACGGCAAGAAAACAGTTTCCCCGCTCTGCTTTATTTTTATTATATCATAGTTCGACTCAAGCACCCTTGACGTGACAACTAATGGTGCCATAAGTGGAGCACGTAGAATGATCATCTGGTAACCTTCTACTACCTCATCATGACGTTCATACTTCCGAAGCGGGAATTCAGTCAAATAGAGTTTTAGCCATCCGACCAGTTTCCCCGCAGCAGTTATCTAGTAGTCACTTTCGTGGTTGTATTTCCACCCTGGTAATAAACCACGCCGCGTCCATAGGTATGCCTTTAATTTAGTGTTACGTTATCTTACGTATCACCGACCAGCTGAGATTGTGGGATCATATGTAAGGTTTCGTCGCTTAGAGCCGCTTTTGATCATCCGTGCTCTTTCCCGCACTCCAGACTCTGTGGAACGCAAGCTACGTGGTAATTAATTCTTGCCAGTTAAATAAGTGGTCTGGAGGTCTAACTTAATAGTGGAATACGACTTGTGAATTCACTCAATAAGAATTAACCGTGGCCTCTCGCCTATAACAAACTGTTGCGCAGGCAAGCCTTCAATCTCGGAACTATACACACCACATTGCAATTCGTCTCATTCTGTTATTGCCCAAATTTATGACTTCTTGCAGTGTTCATTTCTGAAGATCTTGTTAAAAAGCAAACGAAGAGAACAAATTCTCTGGATATCAAAATCGGTACTTGGAACAGAATTATCCTAACTAAACACTGCAAGTGTCAGATTGCCGATGTAAGTTTGTGCTTTCTTGCTTCAATCAACTATGTCACTAAAACAGATAATCACTTGGCAGAATGTCCTTGTCGCAATCGTCGCACACGTGTTTATCATGTGAGAGTACCACAAAAGGTGGCCTTTTTTGCTCGAGGGAATGTCGCAGTGCTGTCCTCAACAATTCAACATCCAGAATAAACCCTACGACTTGCAGGAAAGAGAATTATACTGATAGTAAATGTGGATGCGAATCACTGACACACATCTCTGGAGATTATGAGAAGACCCAGAGGTCTTCCTGCTTGGAGACAGACGAGAAGTCTCGACGCGAATTAAAGGGCTATGAAAGCTCATTTGACTGGATGAGGCTTTGGAGAAGACATGCTTTTTGTTCATAGATGGCATTCGGTCTATTTTACCATAATTACTCTAGCAAACCATATGCTATAATAAACTGCAGTGGGTCGTAATCGGTCCTCAAGTCTAGGGACTGTTCAAAGTTTGAGGTTATAGAAACGTATCGAAGAAATATGTAGACGGTATCAATTGCGCGTGGAGCAGTAGATTCATTCTAGTTATGCGCTAGTATGATAGTAAAATGCTGCAATTACCCGATTTGTATATATCGAGAGTCTTGTCAAAACGAGTTCTTTTAAAGAATTTTTCATTGTGACGGGAAAGACCAATTTGACATTTACTATGGTGGTCAGATAGAATTACGGCTGGGTTGCACCACCTTTTATGGAATGTCTTTCAATATAACTCAGCCAAAGAGGCGCATAGAGATAAATGGCACATAGATGATTTGCTTGAAGGACATATACTGAGTTATTATAGGTACTGTAATATACTTTTGTTACCTGTCTTCTAGGTATGCACTAACAATGAACAACTCGGCAGCGGTCGCGCAAGCCCTCGTCATGAAACAGCCTTTCCCAGTGAAGCTTCGAAGAGGCAGTAGCGCGATTCCGACTAGACTGTGGCTCTAAGTCATTAATGATCTCAAAATTTGACCACACCATTCAGCACTCTTGAAACCAAGTATTCTACAATATGGATGTTCGGATTCAAGAAACGGTCGAGCTCGCAACCATCTTCAAGAAGAAGTACCATTGTTGTGTCCACCCCTTGAATCTTGCATAGCTCTTTATGTTCATTTATGTTGACTCTGTAAATATCTGGTAGGTCAAGTTGTGTATCCGACTGCAAGAAATCAACAGCAGATTGTAAGAGGTGGTCCTGTTCTGAACGCTCTTGAAATAGTACTATCAAGAAGACACGATTGTTGCGAAGATTTTGGTAGTGAGATAGACAGTTTTGTTGTTTATATTCAGCGAATAATCCTTGTCATCTTGGTTTTAGCTTATGAAGGCTCATACCTAGTGATCCTCATTAACTGCATTATTCTTAATATTGAATTTTTTTATGGCTCAAATCCAATATCCCAGTACCCAATCTCGACACTGATAATGCTCTGGTTTGACAATGCGAGGTTCTAAATCATCTTTTTCACGGGTGCCCCTGTACATGTTATCATGCAAGCAATATGACGGCATTGCCAATATCTCTGTATCCATCCCAGCCAAATCTTGTATTCGTTAGACCGCCAAAGGATCCCGATCTTGAGTTCAGAAGCTTGTATAAATCGAATAGCTGATCTGGAAATTCGTTTTTGGAATTAGCATCAACATTAGGGCGTACATCGCTCGATGATTCGATAAGCTATGTAAATCGTTCGGCAGTGGTATTACGAGCCGCGTGCTGGTTGTCAATATTAGAAAATGCGCGACCCAAAATGTAGATTCAAGGAACTTTGTCAATTTATTACTACAACGTGGCAGAATAATCAGTCAAGCCAAGTAATTGAAGTAAGTCAAAGTCAAGCATGCGACATCTTTGAGTATAGAATTCGGAAGCGTGGCAGTAAGTATAATGTCTGGTGATGAACAGACATGACGCAGTCGCAATACTGCATGCAAGGGCACTAAGATACCTGCAAAACAGAGATTGAAGAAGGTGGCATTTGATGATAATCTCTGCTACGGATAGTTGGCGTATCATTGAGGAGAAATTCATCGAAGTCTATCTGTCTGAACCTGAAGCGGCACTATTTTGACTCATGAGCTTTTGGACTCGGCCGTTGATGCGGTTCCTGTCGGCGATGTGATGATATTGCCGTCTAAAGCGTGTATGCTTCAGATCGGGGAATTGTATGGTTATGATGCTGTTGAATGTTCTTTTATTATTTTACACGTATACACGATCAGGTCGGAAGGTTGAAGACCAGGATCGCTGGCACATGTGTGGCGAATTCAAAATTGTTTCTCAGTCTCAAAGTTCATGGAAAGAAATACTCTATGATACCTTCGCTTTAATAGGAACCGCACAGCATATCAATTCCTGCCACAGACGGTAACTAAGAGTATCTGTGAGTCCTCGACAAAGGCAGAAGGGGACAGGATGGAAAAGATGTGTGGTCAAGCCCGCCCGTCATATTTCGGATCGATCTCCCCGGAAATCCGTTTTTTTCCCGATACTCGGCGTTTGCTGAGCCTGATTGGACTAGAGCAAGATTGGGACACATTCAAAGTACAGGGTGTGTGTGTGTGTATTCTTACGCTGGCCCCTCGCCCAAGGCGATATGCAGTGTTCCACTACCCTAATCTCTAGGTACATCCATTATTTTTCCTGACTGTTTCCTTCGGGACGAACTTAGAGCCTCGTCAAGGCCTGTGTTGGCCATTGCCTCGGGTTATGTTCTGCGGTCCTCGTGGCGCGCGGCTCCGAAATCTTTGTGGCGCATCCGCAAAATCTAGGATACCAACAATGCTAGTGTCTTGCGAAGGCTTTCCTAGTACCTAGCCGAACGCGCCTGAGCCGGAGCCCGGGGCGCGCCCGAGAAACCCCGGAGGGGGAGCATGACGAGAAGTGTGCACTCGATGGGGGTTGAACTCATGACCTTCGCATTAGTTACATAATTCCAACCTCTAGAGTTACTACTACAAAGGGACGACTACCACTACTGCTAATACTTGCCGTCACCACCGTTTGCCTTCTTCTTAGTTCTCGGGACGCAGTGTCGTCAAGTTGATCTTATTTCCCATCTATACTATCGTAAAAGGGAAGAAAAGGTTGTGGGGGGAAGGCATCAACAATTTTATCGACCCATTTCCACGCTATTGCCATCTTCTCCCGCCATCCGACCCCACCTGGCGACTCCTGTATCCGTTCCCTCGGGTCGCTGTCCCTTCACCTCTTGTTCTTGTACTCGCTCTCCTCAAGGTGACTTCCCTTGGTGGTCGCCTTGTTGCTTTCATCCGTCCTCACGTATGTCTGCGTCGCACTCCTCCCGCTTTCTAGCTCCAGCTTCTGGTCAGCCCTCGAATGCTACGGTTCCGGACAATGTAGTTCAGGTTCGCAAGCACAAGACAACCGCCTGCAAGGCGTGTAAGCAGAAGAAGCTTAAGGTGGGATTTTTTCACTAAGCCCGTACATCTCACTGGTATCTTCGTACTATCACATCAGAGTTTCCTTCGTCGGCTGGCTTCCCGCAAGTGCAGAGGTGACCCACCATGTCAACACTGTGTGGCAAACGGCATCCCATGTCTGATCGACGAGATGGCCGACATGCGCCGTAAATACGCCATGAAGCGCAAGCTAGAGCGTCTCGAACAAGCCGAAGAGACTGCTGCGATTGATTGACGGTCTCCGGGAAAGTGAGAGCATGCGCCTGGAGCAGCTCTTGAATCTCGTCCGGAGTAATGCCTCCTTCGAGGAACTCCAAATCTTCCTGGAGCAACAGTTTACTGGGCGTGAAATCGAACCGTCCCGGTAACTGCGTGAGATCCAGAGCCAAATTTCTCGTCCCTCCGACGATGGCGAAGAGGAGCAACCACCCTCTCAAACCCGAAATCCTCGTCGCGTCCTGGATGTCCGCCGTCTCGCCGATAGCCCCGTTCATCGAGTCCCTGCGAAGCCGTGGACCACTGTCACCGACGACGATGACCTTGTATCCCACCTCGTTTCGCTCTGGCTGACATGGACCTATCCCTTTTTCCACTGGTTGGATAAGGATGTTTTCCTCCTGGACATGCGGGCCGGCAATCTGCAGTGCCGATTCTGCTCGCCCTTTTTGGTGAACGCCATTCTCTCGGAGGCCAGTGTAGGTGCGCTCGACCATTTAGGGTATAACAATCCACCGCAGTATCAAGCTAACCTGCTGCTATTCTTGGTACTACTCTGACTACGCCGAAGTATTCACCGTTCCCCGCTATATGCTCACGCGGGGAGATCATTTCTACGAAGAGTCACTGCGTTTCTTCCTCGACCATAATGAGCGGCCTGAACGGAAATGTAGACGTATACGACTCGACCGGATCCCGGAGCAAGTGGGAGAGGAAATGAAATTCATCCTCTTCTCACGGGCCATCCAAGCGGAAGTCACGGGGATTGACCAACACCAGCAGAACGGAGTCGCTGAACGAGCGCACAAGGCGATTTATGATCGGGTTGGCCCTACGCTCGCGCATGCGGGGCTACCACCGAAATTCTGGCCAGAAATTGCGCGAACCGCAGCCTTCCTGTCCAATCGGTCGCCCTCGTCCAAACTGAACATGACTCCATATCAAGCGTGGTACGGTGACAAGCCGGACTTATCACGACTCTGAGTGATCGGATCCAAAGGGGAGTACTTGATTTCCCCCAAACTGAGGAAGAAGCTCACAGGGCCAAGGACAAGGCCATGCATCCTACTAGGCTACGAGGGAAATACCAACTACCGTATCCTGCTGGAAGACGGACGAATTGTTGGGACCCCAAACGCTGAATTTCATGAAGTCTTTGCATCTCCTTCCACACAGACCAGAGAAGATGTGGTGGCCAGACAAGACGGCTTACCTGCGGTAACGGCTGCTGCCGCAGGGGGGAGTGAGACGGTGGGACTAATAAACCAACCGTCGGTAGGCATACGGCAAGCATCCGTGCCCGCCTCTGGGCGCCAATTGTCGATGGCACCACCAGAACAGGCCCTACCTAAGTCGAGCAAACATATCTCGCACACACTGCCTCGATCGAGTAACGATAACTCACGAGGGCTAAACCAGTCGAGTAACGAAGACTCGCAAACACCAGCGTCGTCTCAATCGAGTGACGAAGACTCGCAGCCACCCGTTGCTGTACAGGGAGATAGGACCTTGTCGCCCACAAGGAGTGACGATACCTTTGGACCATTCGCAGATGATTTACAAGGCATCGTCCAGAGGAATGAGTCACCAACCGGCGGCGACCAGCAACAAGGTGACGCTCACCAAGGTTAAGACCTAGGAGAATGGCAACGATATCCAGAACTCCAACGTGACCACCCAATTCATACGGTGCCACAAGAAGCACTAGAGAACCATCCTGAACTCAAAATTCGCGCTCCGCAGGTCACACTAGACACATTTAGTGATAGCGAAGAAGAGCTTGCGTTAATGAATATACCCGAAGAAAACATCATCCCAACGTTCTTAACAGTGGCTGCAAAGGAAACAGAACCTTTTGAGCCAAGTACCCTGCATCAAGCGAAAAATGACGCGAGCTGGCTCGAATGGGAAAGAGCAATGCTTGAAGAAGTGAACTCGCTCCACCAAAACAAAACGTGGGAGCTCGTTGATCCTCCCACAGATCGGCGGATCCTCAGTGGAAAATGGGTCTTCAAAGTCAAACGAGGACCGCATGGCGAAGTCATCCGCCATAAATGCCGATGGGTAGTGAGAGGCTTTACACAAGAAGAGGGGATCGACTATGACGAAACATTTGCCTCAGTGGTCAAGCAAAACAGGATGCTCTACCTCAGTCAAGAAGCGTATATTGACAAGGTCGCTCACCAGTTCGGAATCAACAGCGGCGCTCCCGTCAGCACGCCGATAGAAACCTCACCACTTCCCGAGAACAGTCCGGGATACAGCTGTTCCCCAGATCGAAGAGTCACATACCAACGCATTGTCGGATCCCTAACGTACATCATGCTTGGGACTAGGGGGGACGTCGCGTATGCCGTCTCAATGGCGAGCAGGTATCTGGCAAATCCCGGACGCAACACATGAATCTCGCCCGACGCATCTTGCGATATCTCAACGGCACAAAAGGCCTCAGGCTCACGTACAAGGGTCAGCCCCAGATGCTGAAAGGCTTTACAGATGCAGACTGGGGTGGATGTCGCAACACCAGACGATCAACAGCTGGATATCTCTTCAATATCGGGAGTGGGGCAATCAGTTGGCAATCAAAGCGCCAAAGCGTTGTTGCCCTCTCGACCTGTGAAGCTGGATTTCTAGGCCAGACACAAGCAACCAAAGAAGCAATCTGGTTAAGGAGACTTCTTAATGAGTTAAACATGAGCCAAGAAAAAGCCGCAACGATTATCTGTGGTGACAATCAAGGAGCCATCGCCCTGTCCTCGAACCCGCAATATCATTCTCGCACAAAACATATGGAAATCCAACGCAAGTGGCAAGGAGAAGTTCATGACCTTGGAGCAGTGGCGCTGAAATACGTTCCAACTACGGAGCAGATTGCTGACGGGTTTACAAAGCCTCTTGCACGAGAACGTTTTGAATGGTTTCGCAGAGGGCTTGGCATTGACTGACACCTCTTGACTTGCGGACATTGGGGAGAGACCGAGCGCACGGGTACCCTTTCCTTCTTTTCTCCTTAAAGGTTTTTGAAGGTTTTAACGGAACCCTTCACCACCGTGATGAATGGTCGCTGGCACCCTTGACAGTGGTTGCCATCGAGTGGGAGTGTTGAATATCACGTGGTGTAACATTAGCAGGGATTGGGAACAGAGATATATATATATATGAGGCATCCCGCCCCTGTAAAGATAGAACAACAATAAGAAAAAATCTCACTTCAACACGAAACCCGCCCAAGACCCGACCCACGGGTCGGGTATCTGGCGGGCGGGTTGGGTCTTGGGCGGGTTTTGGCGAGGCCTGAATTCATGACCCGGGGCCGCTGCAGTGATCCTAGACAGGGAACAGGCAGTAGCGGACTCCCGACAAGTTTCCATAGGCTCTATGACAAATTGGTCGGTCCATGCGGCGGAGGTTATCGGCATTTTCTACGCTATCAGCCTCGCCCTCAAAACAGCAAGGCCGGGGCCGACAACCGCGACACCGCCAGAGAACGAAACGGCAACAATCCTCTGCGACAACACAGCACTACAGGCGATCAGGAACCCACGAAACAAGTCAGGACAGCGGATTATTTACGCCATCTTGCAGGCTGCCTCAGAACTGAAAGCGCGAGGCATTCCCCTCCGCCTCCAGTGGATCCCGGGGCACAGTGATATTCCTGGCAACGATGCAGCAGACAAGCTAGCCAAACGAGCAGTTGGCCCGGATAGGATGCAGCCTTTCAAACGCCTAGTTTCCCAAGAAAGGATAGCCATCCGAAAGAACATCCACCGAGAATGGGAACAAGAATGGAAGGTATTCAGAAAAGGCGGCCACCTCGGGCGAATCGACGCCGAGTTGCCAGCCAGCCGGACGCGACGACCGTACGATACATTGCCACGAGACCGCGCCTACCTCCTTACCCAGTTGCGCGCGGGTCACTGCTGGCTGGCACCTTACGGAAAACAGTATGGATTCCGGAACGAGGATAAGTGCGAATATGGCGCCAAGGAACAGTCACACGTCATACTCGACTACCCAAGTTCAAAAATACCACGACATAATTTACGCAGAGCGACCGGTGAAACATTCGGCGACATCTCAACCATGCTAGGAGGAAATAAGGATACCAGCCACGTAAAGGCTGTCTTGGATTTTGCGGAAGCATCCCGAAGGTCTCGTAGTCGCGGAGGAAGGGATCCGCAAGGACAAAACTGTAGGCGAATGGCCAACACAGGCCCCTAGGCGAGGAAGTTCGCCTCTAAGAAATGGGACGATGTACAATAGAGACACCAGGGCAGAGATATAGTTGCAGTAGCCTGCATATCGCTTACGCGAGGGGTCAGGGTAAATGACATCACCACCACCACCACCACCTAATCATGACCAAACATGTTGTCGTTAAGCGCTTGAAGTGTGGTGTTCCCCTTCGCAGGGTTGGTTTCGAGATGCGTCATAATATCCCGCAGCATTTCGATGATATCCACTGAACGCCCAGGGGAGAACAGTTTTGGGTGCTGTACCCTTAAGATGGCATTTGAAAAACCTTCATCGTCTCAAATACGTGTCAAGAGTGAAAAAATGTACCTGCCAGAATATGATCCTAAGATTAGACCTGGCTCTACTGTCTCTCTGTGCTCCTGACTTTTGGACAGCGAGCGGCAAGGGCAGCTGTGGTGTGCACCTAGGCCTGACATCTTATTTGGTGCAACCAATCAAAGCTGATATGTTGCCGCCAGTGGTTCTAGATCTGGATTACCCCGCTTTCGAAGTCGAAACCTCAAAGAATTGACCTCTTCCCTCACCATCATTCTGAATAAGCCACTTCAGGAATTACTATCCCCTTTGGACTGAGTCTCCGCCAAAACACGCAACTTCCCAACAGCTCTACATCCGCTGCTCCTTTCGTCTTAAGCAAAGACTGTCGCGAAAAAGTATTTATGAATTTAATTTCTCTGAAGAATGCCAGATACGGTCTCTGCTATACTCAGGCTCTCTAGGGACATAGATGAGTTAGGTCCCAAACTATCCGCTCTTGCGGCGAAAGATTATTGCAGTGTCACCGTACCGCAGCTGTCTCCCGAAATAGAAGCGAAGGTTCGACACGTTGAATTGTTTATTAAGCAGTCCTTGGATTGGAAAGACCTGAATTCCTGGCTGGATCACGCCCGGAAAGTGACAGACGAGCACCGGAGATATTTCAGGATCCTTTCCGAGTTCGGCTATGACATCAACGATTCACCGAAAAATGACTGCGATCTCAATGTTGCAGAGATAAATCGTCTACCTAGAGGGAACGGGCAACTCAGAATATTTCTGACTATTTTTGGGCCAAATTCGTCATCTCGTCGTGAACATATTAAGAAGTTATCTGGCTTTTGCTCTTTGAAGGACGACGACGCAATCCCTTTGCACAAAGTTCGGGCGAAAATCGAGAATACCGCAGAAGAAATAATAAGTCTTTGGAAAACCCTACAGGGAAGAAAAGAGGCACTTGAACAATTTGAAGAAAGATGGACCAGAATGCGAACCGCGGAACGACGTGCCTGGCTTCACAACACGTTTAAGCTGCATCATGAACCGGACTTCGCTATTTATTTACTGGCGCCGCGCTCAAGCACCAAGCCTTTGGACAAGGATGCATTTCTCACGCCGCTACTTAATGTGGAGGATCTAGCCCACGCAGATATCCTTCCAAATCTATTACAGACTCGGTCTTCCCTACATCCGATGCGATTTTTAATCATTGATTCTCGATTTGTAAATCTTGGATATTGGTCCGGAGCGCTCCCACTACTCAAGATTCAGGGGAGAATATCATTTATTACCGGCCCAGAAGAGGAAGGTTCTAAATACGGGATACAGTTTGAGCCTGACGTCATCAAGCAGCCGTATCAACTAAACCCAGCCATTGGCTTGTATAAGCTGATAGCACAAAAAAATATACGACTTTCTTGTTTCTTGTGTGTCCGGTACTCTAGCAACCCCAGTGCCTGATGATCATCTAAGCGACAGCACTGGAAGTGACACGACACTCTCCCTTTTGAGCAGATCTGCACATATGGATTATAGGCGGCCAGATCGCATTGATTGGTCATACCTGCAAAGCGTATTAGATGCATCTACTGAAGAAGCACTGAATGATTTACAGCAGCTCCGCAGCGATTCAGAATACTGGTCATTGCGGATCCAGCAAACTGGGAAAAATACATCAAACTTGCTGTATTCTGTCTTCAGCCGTATCAATACATTTGTTTGCCTAAGCGAACGCATTAAGAGAGTTCGTCTGTGCAATGGGTGGACCGATTCATCTATTTCCTACGATGACATCGGGCTATTCAAGGAAGCGGTGTCTCTGGACCCTATCCTGCGCTCCATTCTTAACAAGGCCCTTGAATCGATACAAAAGATGAGACTGTCCTCGGATTGGACATGGAAAGGGACGAAGACATTTCGCTATCTCTCTGACATGATGGAGGAAAACGACCCAACGCTACGCGTAATCGGCCTGCGTAGCGTCTTGAGGACCATCGAACGCGAGATGCCAAAGGTCAATCCTTGTGATTCGATGCCCTTTCTATTCGCGCAAGCCCTTAACGATATGTCAGTCGTGGCTGTTTGCATGCAGGAGTCTGACAAGCATTACCAGTACATACGCAGCGTCAGCCATGAGTATACTTCATTGGCAAATGATGCAGAATCAGAATGGAATGGACGGGAACAGCCTTGGATATCGTTTATTGAGGGTACACTGCACAGACTAAAGCACAAAATCAACAAACTGAATCTTTACATTCTGATGAAGTGAAGCCGTTAGAGGAAAGGCACAAGATCTTCTGGAACACTATTGATGCGTATATGCTTGATAGTACGGCGCCCAGACCAATCGTTGATTTTATCCGACATTATGCTCCGATTTCAGCAGCGCCTACCTCTGCATCCGTCACCTCTCCTATGATATGGAGCACACACGGGACTGAGGTAGCATTGACCGAAACCCAGAAGAGAAAGTCAAAAGGACGCAAATCCCGACACGACGCATCAAGATCCCTACGCAGGCCAGTCACCGCATCAAATGTGGTCGAGCTACATAGCTTGCCCTTTGTTCGTATTCAGAAGGACGCTGATAAGATTTTCTGGAATCGGCTTTCAAGTGACAAAGGGCAGATTACGGTGCGTCCACCTGAATCACTGTCCCAAAATCCAGACTTGCTCTCCTGTGAAGTATGGAGGAGGATACGGAGTTAATTGTTTGCCTCGTTGTTGTTTGCTCTGTGCCTGGAGAAGATCACGGTACTCCCCCAGATGCCATGGATTTGGCCGTTGAACACGAGTCATCTGGTGAGCCGGGGGAACGAAATGATGTACCTCTTCCTCGCAATCGATGTCGGAGTAGAAGTGCGCTTGCGGTCTGCCTAACAAGCAAAAACATCATTGATCGCTTCCAGAGGATGATTCCTGTACTGTCAAAGGTAATTCTGAACCTCTGCTGTACGGAGAGGGACATCCTTGGCGAATACAGCCGATGGTCGGACAATATGGTTCGACGTCTCTGCGCAAGCTGGCAAGGAATGTGGGCGAATCTGTCCTCCAGCGCCCAGGACACCCATGACGTGCCTGACGGCGGCTGCATGAAGAATAATATGCAAATTATTCTTGGACAGCCCTAGCCAAAGTGAATCTCCGTATCAACGTGCCCTGGGCAAAGGAGAGCGTGATCCAGCTGCTTGATGGCGTTGGTGGTCATGATCAAGAGTGGCCTCCCCGCGCAAAAACGTCATCACTACCGTTAAGCGAGGCAGGCAGAGGATAATTTCACTGTCAGCTTCCATTTTGCTATCCTTCGAATATCGTCGAGGATGTGATGCTGATGTGTTCATGATGAAGCGACAAACAAAGCGGCCAGATCATGTATTACAATTCTAACCACCAATGGCCTCTATCACGAGAGCAATTGAAAGCAACATGACTACTCATAATAGTATGTGATTAAACTCAGAGAGTACAGAGTCGGGCATTTCTATCGCTGCGAGCACAACCGCCTGGCCCTCAAGATAGCAGTATACACCAAGGCAAAACACAGCGATAACTTTCTCTTTTTCCCCTAACCGGCAGGCTCTCGATGACTGAGATGTTCCATCTTGAGAACACGGTGCCAGCTAGTATGTGGCTACTGTTACCCCCTGTTGACCATGACTACCGATTCTGGTCGGCCAGATTGCATGGAGACGTCCAGCGGTTTCCCACCAAGACGGAAAATTGAACCTTTCGCTTTGGCCTTATCCATCCGTAGAGTAATCCAGAATGGCGTGTCTGATACTTTAACCCCATGCCGAGCGCAGAGTTTCCAGGACCACAAATAGCGCAATCACACAAGATCTATCTCCATGCCTCGAAGCTAGGAAATATGCGAGAAAGGATCAAATAAGAGGAATCCACGGGACTTATACCCCTGAATGGTGAGCAAGAAAACAGAGGTGGAGCTGAAACTAAGAAAACCACAACAAACCTTAATTGAGCGTGCCGGTCACCGTGGCCTAGGAACCCATTAGACTCAGGTCAGCGAAACAAAGGCAGATTACCCACTCGACGAAATGCCATCTGATTCGTCCATGGCGTTGCCTCGTATGGAACTTGATGCTACCTAGGAGGTCACGCTTGTTACCGTGACACGTTACTGTAAAGCCCGGGAATCACTCTGGGCG